CTTACTTTAGTGGAACTTTGCAGGCAATCATTGCTCACCCCTCCCACCAAAGTCCTACTCAGGCTTGGATTCACGAAGGTTTCCCGGGTCCCTCCCAGCAGTGAGGAAGGGGTTCTGACTCTTATTCCTCCCCTCTCCCCACCAGAAGGAATGACATCTTATTGTTTTAAGATAACTAATTGCCATTCGTGTTAACTTTGGCCTTTTCTGACCAGCTCACTGCAATCCTGCCCCGACCTCCGGGTTCCCTTCGTAAGTGGCCTCCCCAGGGAAGAGTTCTGCGACGAATACTCTCAGCACCCCGCACACTACGTCTACCTCCGTCTTTCATGCTCATTCCTTTCAGATGGACCGTGAGTCCCGAGCGTTTGGACGGAGGTCCAGCCCCTCTCCGACCGACGCTCAGCCGCCAGCCTGGGCTCCGTCACTGCAGCGCCAGGGCGTCGAGGGAAGCGCGTGGAGAGGCTCGGCCCGCGGCCCCGCCGGCGCAGACGGGCTGGGGGCCCGCCGGAGAGCGGCCTCACTTACTGGCGGGGAAACGCGGGTCCGGGTTGGCGCCGTACCATCCGGGGCCCGAGGCGCTGTTCCGCATGGTGTCCTGGTAGGGCGGCAGCTCGCTCATGTTGCCCAGGTTGCCGTTGCAGTAGCCCCCCACGGCGGAGTGCGAGAGCTGGGGCACCCCCGCCGCCGTCATGTGGTAGGCGGCGGTGACGGCGCCGTGGTGCCCCATGGCGTGCTGCTGCATGGCCGCGGCCGGCGGCGCCGCCTGGCTCTGCCTGTACGGCGCCAGCGGAGCCCCGAGACCGCCGCCCTCCATGCCCACTTTCTTGTAGCTTTCCTCCAGGGGACTCAAGATGTCAGACACTGAGAACGGAGTCGTGTGCTTTGGACTCATCGACATGATTCGGCGGCGGCTGGAGGAGGAAGGAAGAGGAGGAAAAAAAAGGGAGAGGGGGAAGGCGAAGCCTCGTTGCTTTTTTTTCTCTCCCTTTGCCAAATATTCTGGTGTTACCTTAACGCCGATCTTGTTGGATGTACACGTAACGGAGTGGACCGAGTCCGCCTTAATTGGCTTGAGTGGAGGCTCGGGGGCTGCCTCGCGTTTGTTTTAGCCCGGCGCCAGGTTTTAGGCAGCCACCAGAGGCGGGGCGTAAGCGCTAAAGCAACAAGACAATAGAAGCCTACATCTTGCCCGAGATAATTAGCTTACATGCTGATGACAAGGTAAACACCTTTAAGTTTCACTTGTCAGGATTTTGAGGTCTCTAAGAGAGATAGAAAGAGAGGCAGAGACACGACCCCCGACGTTCCTTTCCCCCTCCCCCCGGTACTCCCAGCCCCAATTTTTGTGGGGTGCCGGCGGCGGCGCGCGGGGGGGAGGCGGAGGAGGGGGAGGAGGAGGGAGCCGAGAGCGGGGAGGGCAGGAGGTGGGGTAGGGAGTAGCCCGCCGAGGAGGAGGATTGATGGGGAGCAAGAAAGGTGACTGCTGCTTTGCAACCAACTTGCCGAGTTACAAAGTGAAACCTCGTTCCCATTGGGTCGGGGTTCCCTGGGCGGGCGGGGACGGGTCTCGAAGGGGGCGGGGGTCCAAAGGACGGGGTGGGGGGTTCACCTGAGCCTGCCGGGGCTGCTCCTCCCTCCCGCCGCGGCCTCCCAGCCCCGCGCCTTCCCAGCGCCTCCGGACCACATCGGGCTGCGTGGCGCAGAGCCCCAGCCGCCACCAGCGGAGCGCGAAAGCCTGGGGCCGCACCGTTGGTCTGCGTGTCTGTCAGTCTGTCTGGCTCTTCTGCCGCCGTCAGAGGGACACCCTCTGCTCCCCGCCCCCTTTCCCCCTACCCGAGAGAACCTGCGCGGGCGGGCGGAGGGGGCGCTGAGCAGGGGACCAGCTATCGCCGAGAGGCTGTCCCGGGTCTCTGCGCCCCCACTCCACCCAAGCTGAGGGCCTTCTCGGAGGGCCAAGTCTCCCACCTCACCCTCCCCCACCCCAAACCTGCGGCTCTTTCTCCCCACCCCCATCTCGACCTGGAGGAGCTCACGCCCCGCCGCCGCCTGGACTAGGAGAAGGGGGCCCTACAGCGAGGGGCCATCAGTGCAGTAGCCCCACCTCAAACAAACCTGGTGTCCCCGACCCTCGCCCATCGCCCATCGCCCGGACACGCACGATTCTAGGGCTGGAGCTGACTTTCCCAGGACATCAGAGTCCCAGCACACAAGTCCCAGGGCCACGCTCTTGTCCCCTCTGGTGCCTCAGGACAGCAGCGGGCGCTGAGCGATGCGCGCCCGCCTGCCTGTTGCGGCTCAGAACAGAGCCTGAGCCCCGGCAGGTCAGCCGGCCGGAAGGGGGGAATCCCGAGGCGGCAGCCGCGCAGCCACAGGATGCTGGACTGGGTCTCGCCTCTGCCCAGGGCGCAGCCATGCAAAAGTGCACTCGCTTTCCTGGGAATAACCAAATATCTTTGTTTAAAGTGGCGGCGTCAATGGCCAGTTGCTTTGTGGCCACGCTGGATATGAGTTGATGAGGATCACTCTGCTTCAATTGGGCGCCTCTCGACCGGCAAGCAAGAAACGGCTTAGAAGGAAGTGGGTTTCCTGTCTGCGCGTTCCCAGGCTTCAAGAGTGAGCCCCGCGCCTGGAGGGTCCTTAGGCGCCTGGTGAGGAGGAGCTGTGGGTGGTGCTCCCCGCGCTGGGCCGGGGGTCCGCCGCGCTGCCCCTGCCAGGCCAAGGAGGAGTGGACCGCCGAGCCGGCTGTGAGCCTCACACATCTTGAGACGAGCTGGAGCTTTGGAATCCTTGGATGCTAAACGTCTTTGGGTTTTTTTACCTCCCCACCCAGCCGCCACCCCGCCATTTCTGGCTGTTTTAACCCCCTCTTGGGACTGGGAGGGCAGAGTGTTCTCTGGCCTAGCAAGGGTCTGGGCACTCGGTAGGGCCTTTCCAAGAGGTTTTGTTAAAAATTGGTTTTTGATTTTACAGTTTATTTTCTCTCCTTGTAAGAGGGAACTCCCGGTGGTAAACAAGCTGTTTTGGATGATTTAATGCAGCAAGTTAGGCTTCTTTTTCATTCATAGGAGTTACAGAGTGGAACGTTGTTTGTTTACTTTTTAATATTGAATCCCCTCCTTGAGACGTGCACCGTACTCCCCCAGTACACAGGCATCACCGGGACTTGCATTTGTCAGCCTTCTCACCTTGCTCCTGGAGGGAAAGAGAAAACTCAGCGCATCTAGTTTGAGGCCCACCCATCCCGACTCCCACTCCCACCTCTGGTCTTGAGCTCAGATCCCCCTCTCCAGGCCCCCACAGGGGATGGGCCTGCTGGTAGATGACTGCCAGTATTGCTCCTGAGAAGCATTGCCAGCTGCATTGCCACCCCAGAGAGAGAGTCCTGAAGCGAAGCAAGCGCCTTGCTGTTCCTTCTCTGGGGGCTGTTCTCCAGAAAGACCCAGATCTCACCAACTGCGCCTTGGTCCATGTGGTGTCTATTTGAGGCCCCAAAGCACAGAGGCAGAGCTCACACAACTAGAAAAGGGAGTCAACCTAGGCCCGGCTTGTGCTCTGAAATAGAGGCTTAGTTGTAGGGCGGGTGGGTTTTCAAATCACTTGTCTTCTCTCCCTTTCCATTATTTCCAACACACCAAGTGTAGAACGGCTTCCATCTCTCCCAGGCACGACGTCATTTCAAAGTGGAGATCATGAGATCAGGCACAAACATACAAGTGCTTGGAAAACAGTTCAGTGACAGTGTCATGAATCTCTAGTATTGTCACCATCAATAGCCCTCCCTCCCTGGCCACTTTAGGCCCAGATGTAAATGAAGGAAAGAGTTGGGACGGCTCCCACTGTCCATGGGCCATACCAATTGGACTGTCATCCCTTGGTGCCACTTGCCAGCAGGACTGAAAGTCTGGGCGCATGTGCTCAGCCGCTACTCAGCAGACCTACCAGGCGAGGCCACAAGAGCTAGGAACTTCAGTTGTCCTGCCCCCCCCTCCGCACACACCCCACACCCCCAGCATAGGAGACCATAGCAGGTGGTGGGACTCTCATGGGGGACAGGCACTGGCTTCCCCCCACCCCACTTCTCAATCCATACTGTTGTCAACAGCCTTCTGAGCTCACCAGCTCCCACCAGCCTGGGCCATTGCAGCGCCTTTCATCTCTCTCTCTCTCTCTCTCTCTCTGCTTCTCTCTCGGTCTCTCTGTTTCTTTGTCTGTCTCTGTGACACACACACACCAATAGCCTCACAGTCTTCAAGCCACTCAGCACTGCCAAAGATGAATGTGCCTTGTAGGGAAAAGGTCTATATAGGCATAGTGAAGTGTATAATTTCTGAGGTCATCCCTCCCCGGCCTCCCATACACTTGTGCTGCTGCCTCTGAGATGCATCTCCAAGCGTGACCCCAAGGAAATCAGTGTTTCACCAAAGGGAATGCTTAGAAACCCAAATCCAGCCGGAATTCCTTAATCCTGGCTCAGTGAGTGGGGTGACCTTGGAGAGCCCAACGTTGACCTCCTTGGCGCACCAGCGCTGGCAGGCCTCGGAGTGCTCTTCCTGTTGCTGGGGGGCAGCCTGTGGCTGGGTGAGGAATCCCAGGCAGCGCAGCAGGGTCGTAGGCACAGGAGCCTGGGAGAGCCTGGAAGTTGCCATCAGCTTTTGCTCCCCACCGGAAGAATGGCCAAAGCCCCCCCCCCCAGTCCCCCCAGTGTGATTTTTTGAAAACCTAGAACACAGGCTCTGCTGAAGAGTGCCGTGCCCAGGGCACTCTGGGTTGGGACAGGCAGGACCATGCTTCTCCACTCTTGTTTCCTCTCCGATAACCCTGTTTATGGCCCTTCACACCACTCGGGGCCACTGGCGACCAAGTTTCCTGGTGGTGTTATTTTGCTCCACTTTTAATCGCAATTCATAATGTATTCAAATCTACTAATCACGGAGTTCTGGGCCAAGGCTCCATTCTAGGCCTGGAAATGCAGCCGTGGCTCCTACCTGCTTAGCGCTTATACTCTACCAGTAAATCACTCCAGAAATGTGTTACCTTGAGACAGTTCCGATTCCAGATTCCACCCAGATAGCAAGCATGGTAAGAAAGGTTTGTACTTGGCCGTCCACACCACCTCCGGATCTTCAAGTGTTCCTGGGCAGCGGGAAGGGCACTTGCGTTAACTCAGAAGTCCTGGGGTTTGAGATTGACTTTGCCACTTCCAGTTATGAGGCACACCTCTGGCGGGTTCCTGCTGCACTGTGGGACCATCCGGATTAAAGTTGTATGCTTTCTGCCTCCTCTCCTCTGGATGAGATCTTGTCCTGTTTTATTGACCCTGGACAGTCCTATCATCTCAAGAAATGCTGAATGAGGGAATAAATCTCAGCGCCTATTTCCTGAGCTGCAGAAATGCTCCTGGCTG